GCCCTTGGGGCTTCGCACGTCCCTTCGCTGGCGGACGTCGCCAGGATGCACCCGCAACAATGCCCAGCTGACCTCAGAGAGAGGACGCTCAGCTGACCTCAACGATGAACCGCACGTGGTAACGTGTGACGTCACAGGCGCACAAACACTGTCGGCCGGCTCGCTTGCCGAACACGTGATACGCACGTGGAAGCCGAGCTCGCTCTGACACTACCGCACAAGCAATTATCGCCCGATAGCGAACTCGCCGAAACCAGAGTATGCACGGGAGCGAATGCACCGGTGGCGAGTGCACGCGGGATCCACGCACGAGCGAGATCCTCTCACAAACGAGCGCACGTGAGATTCGATGCGCAAGCGCGACACGTGTGTCCTTATGACTACGCATTAAAAGAAAGGAACGGAATTTGCGTGATTAATGCGCTTACCGCACATTAGACGAGCACCGAGTACAAGTTACAAAAGATCGAACACGAGCAAAACGCAATGTACCGAATGCGGCGAAAGTACGGTCGCACGCGAGGCCAAGAGAAAACGCGGACGGACGGACAAAGAAACGTGCCGAATTGCTAGGTGACTCGGAATCGAATAACATTACCGACTGGCTCAGCGAGCACTTACGGTGCGATCGCGAACAATTGGCGCGGCTATAGCTGCTGCTTGTGTCTGCTGACGCTTGGCGGCGGTTGCACATGCGTGCGCGCGTGCATGTGTGTGTGCCGTGAAAGCTGGGGCGCCACAAGTACCCGCCTCTTCATTTGTTTACTCACTGTCCGAGTTTCGTCCTCCGTCTAACTCCCATCTGAGTTCCATTTGCCCTTTGGCTCGCGCGACCGTCTCGACGAAGCGGGACAGCGCATTCCACTTGTCTTTGTTACGTATAAATCCGGGGAACACATCCTCTAGGCTGATAAGGGGGGTTGCTCCAAGGGCGTGCTCCAATTCCCTCCTCTCTCCACACCATTGTGGACAGTGCGTCAGAGTGTGATCTATCCAGCGGCGCCGGACAGTGCATGCATCCAGGTGTTTGGGATTTTCTTATTCTTACCCTGTAGATTCCAAAGGATCCATGTCCCGTTAGGAACTGTGTGAGCCCATAGTTTAAGCTTCCCCAACTTCTGTTAACCCATTCCTTAAAGCATGGAAGGATTAGGTTCTTTAATCAGACAGATGGTGCGTTTGCTCTTTCTAAATAGAGGCGCCATTTTCTGTTGAGCAGGAGGGTCGCCGACTTCACCGCTTCATCCCAAGTGTCCTTGGAGAGGGTACTCATCCGTATGAGATGTTTTTTCTTCCAGTAGAGTCTTGTACTTCGGGTTGCTAATAGATGCAGAGGAGGAGCCCGAGCGAGAATTGAGGCCGCCTCATATGATACCGTCCGGTATGCTCTCACCACCCGTAACTCCATATTTCTTTGCACTTTTAAAAGCGCCGTTCTCGCCATTCGCGTATTTACCAGCTTATCATTCCACGCTGGTGCTCCATATAGGATAACCGACTGCACCATATGGAGGTACAACTTTCTTCTGTGTTCCGCAGGTCCTCCCTTGTTTTTAGTTATGGCCCATAGAGCTCGGACCACTTTCCAAACCTTATCTTTCACGTAGGAGAAATGCGCCCTGAAGGTTAGTCCAGTGTCGAGTATGATTCCCAAGTAGCGCATAGTTCCTTTTATCTGAATGGGCTCCTGCTCAATTATAATATAATTGTATAATCCTGTCCCTTTTTTTCCCACACAGGAGGGCCTCCGATTTATGTGCAGCCACCCTTAGACCCAGTTTCCTAATGACGCCCACCACAGCATCTACACTGCACTGGGCACGTCTTCGGGCCGTTTCATAGATGCTTCCCCGAGTCAGCACAAGGGTTAGTTCGTTCGCATAACATATCGTACTGTTTCCGAGCAGTAGTTTCTGTTATAGGACCGCGTCGAAAGCGACGTTTCACAACGTGAGGCCCAAGACCGATCTCTGTGGCACCCCGGCCACAACATCACGAGAGTGTTGTCGCCCGTCGCACCCCTTGAAGCTTATCTTCCTATGTGTTAGGTAACTACTTATAACCTTGATTAGACGCTCAGAAAAGCCCTTTTTTGCAGTTGGTGGATAATAACTTTGCATGGAAGCATGTTAAACGCATTATCTATATCAATGCTAACCGTAATTGCCGTGTGCTACAGACCGTTTCCGTGTATTCCGCATTCGGAGTAGCGCATCAGTGGTGGATTTCAGTTTTCGGAATCCGTACTGATTTGGGTTCAGGTCTTTTCCAGGGTCCACAAGTGTTTCTCTCCTTAGTCGAGTCAAAATGACTCTTTCCAGTACTTTTCCCAGGTCATCTATAAGGCAAATAGGTCTGTACTTCAAAGGTTCTTCAGAAATACCTGCTTTTAGGATAAGTACTAGTTTAGCGACTTTCCAGATTTCTGGGAAGTAGCCTTCTTGCAGACAGCGGGTAAAGACCGAGGCAATTCGAGTCATAAATCCCGGCGGCGACATGCGCTATATGACACCAGGAATTCCACCTAGTCCAGGTGTGGCTGCCCTTCTTCTGAGCGTTAATGCCCGCCTTATATCTGTGTGACGATCCGGAAAACGTCACGACATCCAAAACAATTACTAACAAGAAAAACGCCGAACAACCGCGCGCGGAATAACCGCAAGGTCAACAAACAGTCGAACTGTTTGTTATAACTTAGTATAAAAGCCGACAGAAAATTGATATCGAGAGAGATTGATCGGAAGGCTCTTCTCAGGCGCACGACCGACCAGAACTCAAAACTCCTAGAGATCCTAGACATCCCGTCGACCGAAGTGGATACGCGACGTCGACATCCTTTCTCCGATACCGCTCTACCGACCGAAGTGGATACGCGACGTCGGTTTCCATACTCCGCTCTGTCGACCGAAGTGGATGCGCGACGTCGACATCTTTTCTCCGATACCGCTCTACCGACCGAAGTGGATACGCGATGTCGGCTTCCTATCTGTACCTCGCTCCGTCGACCGAAGTGGATACGCGACGTCGGCATCCTTTTTCCTCCTCACGCTACGCCGCTAACACTTACGATCGCGAACGCATACAGGGCGTAAGATAACGGTGACAATGAGCGCTTTTAAACCAGCAAGGAAAGACCAGGATAGATAAACAGATTAAAACCGATGAGGCAACGAACTCCGAACGACGAACAGTAGTGTATCAGGAAACAATTCCGACCGCGTCCCGCCTGACGCTCGCGCGCCTCGACGCTCGCAGCTGATCGCGAGACGACAACAACGGCTCCCGACGAGAGCAAAAACGCGACCACGCGCCAACGGCGTAACGTCGCCTGTAAATAATTGTAAATAGCTTCGAAATTAGAATATAGTTCCACATTATTATCACCTATACCACTGGTTTTCATTTCACACACGAAACCCGGACCACACCGGCTAAGACTATCCCGCACGTAACGCAAGGCCGTTACATCTGTTTCGTCAAGTGACTTTATTGTATAGGGCCCAGTCTCTGTGGTTAATCTTTCTTCCCTCCTATATATATAACTCTGTTCCCGCGAGAAAAGGTTGTCGAGGGTTTTGTGGAGCTCCTCTTCCGTGAGGCGTTCCGTAGCAGGCATCGCTGCAGACCTCAATCGCCTGAGGACGGCCCTATAGGCCAATCCCCATGGATCCCGATTAAGGTCCTCCATCAGCTCGTGCCAACTTTTTGCCTTCGGCTTCTTGATCGCATAGGTGAGCTCTTTCCGGGCTTGACGCATTCTCAGATGCATTTGCTTAAGGCTTTCTCTCTCTCTGTTTCCTCAGAGTTGTCGGGAGTCCCATCTCTAGAAGCCGCGTTCATACTTCTGCGTCGAGTCTTCGTGTATCTTCGCCTTGCTTGTATATACTGCTCTCTCAGGTTTTTAATATTCTCGAACCACCAGTACATCTGTGGGCGATTCAACTGTCGTCTTCTCGGTGCGGCTACATCACATGCCTGAGTCATTGTTTCCACGACCCATCTGGCTTGATCCTCTACAGTTTCTTGTGACGCCCCGGACTCCGATCCTTTGATCAGGAGGGCGTCCACGAGTCGCTCTTTGCTTAGCTTCTTCTACACCCATCCAGGTGACAGGGGTGTTTTCTCGTGAGTGTCACCGGCGTTCCACGGGATTCGGGTGATGGGCTCAATACAGTACGTTATGTATTCATGATCTGAGAGAGATGCGAGGTCCGCCCGGACTCGCCATCCTCTCGTTTCTTTCGCCAGCAGAGCTGTAGTCCAAACGAGGTCTGGCATGTTAGCATCTTTGCAAGTTGCTGTAAAGCCTGGATTAATGAGTACAAGATCAACTTCCGTCATAACTCGTTCGAGGATTCTTCCTTTTGCATTTGTGCTGTTAGCACTCCACATTCTTGCCTTAGCATTAAAATCGCCAGCCACCGGCTGTTAGCACTCCCATGTCCGCGCACGCAGTCCCGTACTCTCTCCATTCTAGCTCTGAATTCCGCAAGGGTTAAAGAGGGTGGCATATAGCAGGACACGAGCAGGGTGGTGCCACAGGACGCCGCCACATATCCATCTCCTCTGTTCCTGAGGACCAGTGGGTAGCTCGTCCTAGTGGGCGCCCAAGATATGGCCGCCCGTTGGTCACAGCTTGAGAACCATCAATGGTCTCTCGGGGGGATTCGGTATGTTTCCGATAGAAGTGCTATACTTATTTTTAATTCTTCCATATAATTCACAAGAAGGTCTTATGCTTCCCTGCAATTATTTAAATTTGTTTGGAGCATCTCCATCATTAATCCTGAAATCTGGTACCCAGCTTCCGTCCGGCATCGGTCCGATGGGCCGCTTTACATTTTTATCCTCCAAGTCGGTGGTTGCTTGGGTTCCCATCTTTCTTGCACAGAAGGCATGTCGGGGACTCCACCTTACAGTCCCGAACTGTGTGTCCTACTTCGTCACATCTGTAGCACACATTCGATCTGTCTGTTGAGTTTGTACATCTCACGTGCCTCTTACGTGCCCAAAGCTCCAGCAGCGGAAGAACTGTATCGGCCCCAAGAAGTTCCATTCTCATAATTCCACCCAATTGCTTGTCTGCCCTTATCCGTCATTCGAATTGCCGCTTCTAAGGGACACCTGATCCATATTGAGCCGAATCCATTCCGGCTTAGTCTGATCGGGCCAGCGCGTATTTCTTCCCGGCGGCACTCTCCCTCTTGCGCCAAGGCATCAACGATCTCCGCCCCGGTCAATGAATCGTCAAAACCCCAGACTTTTACTTCGCCTAATTTAAGTGGGGTATTCACCATTGTTCCTGTCGGCATGACTTCCTTTAATCTAGCGGCGAGCGCCGACGCCTGCTTTTCCCTGTCTGGGCCCGGAATCTCGATAACATATTCGCCATTCGCAGTCTTTCTTACCCGGGTTCCCTCTATACCCAGGTCCGCTAACGAGACGCTCTGTCGTGCCGCTCGCAGATCCTCAGTATAAGAGAACGTAGCCTCCTTACCCGTTATTGTAACAGCCGCTGTGTGGGGGATTCGTCGACGACGAGGCGCCGGCGTCGGCGTTGGTCTTGAGTTCCCATTACCAGTTTTGTATGGGGCAGTGGCATCTGCCTGTACCATCTCTGGGGTTTTTATAGTCTGGGAGGCACTCAACTGATCCAATTTCTTCATGGTCCTTTTGCGCCCCTTGGCTGTTACCTCAACCCATTCCTCAGTCTCCATACGGGAGAACAGATTCCTTCGTAGAAGGAGTCTCCTCATTTGTTCCAATTATTTTGTCCATCCTTACCTGGGCCTTTGGTGGAACCAAGTTGCCGATTCTCTAATATTCGAGGAAATTTCCTCGGTTGGGCTATAGGGGTTGAGAGTCCCAAGATCTTAGGGCCCCCTTCCTTTTTGAGTGTCCATGAATCTAGCTCACTGGGCACCGTCTTCCTTTTTCGGGGGCGATTTATTGCGTTTTCATCCTCAGCAATATCCATTGCTTCTATCAAGATCCTATGGTTTGCCATTTTAGGATGCAAGGCAAGTTCCTTGTTTATTGTGCTGAGAGTTGCTCTTCCAGTCTCCAAAGTCTCTGTCTGGGTTGACAAGGTTCTATATTCCTTGTTAGTCGCAGTTGTTGTTGCAGGTCATTTCTCCAACTGGAGGTTTGGGTAGCTATCTCGTATTTTAATGAATCCTGACAGCTTCTTTCTTTCTCTAGGCTTTTCACTTTAGCTTTAAAACGCCCATTTTCACGTTCCAGGTCTTCTACCTTTCTTTGCAGCGTTTGCAGCTGTGTCATTAACGGTCTTATCTCCATTTAACGTGACCTCAAGCCAACGCCGATGTGGCCTCTTTGGCCTCTGCCACCAGCCTTTTCATTTTGTCACTTATCGAGCCTTTGATGTTGGAGCTTTTTGCTCTCAAAGTATCTAGTTCCGCAAGGGACTCATGTATTTCTTGTCTTATAGCCGTCAAGGGCAAATTTCTGTATTTATCCCCGTATGGATTTCAACTTCCTCTGATAATTCATTTGAAGATAAGTCAGGGTAACAGACAGATATTTGTCGGACTTGGTCTTGTTGTCTGTTTCTATCTCCTTTGCTTCTCTTCTTCCTCCGATTCTTATTTTCACTCACATCCGTGTCTCTTTCTACGGAGGAGATAACTATAGGTTCTCCCCTTGTATTGTCCAGCGAGGGGAAATCTAGTCTAGGGTCATCCGATAGGGTGACCGATTTGTCTCCCAGCAAAGTCTTTCTCTTAGCCCCTGTCATCGATCTATTCCCCGTCAGATCAATATGGTCAATGACCGATTGGCCATCCGGGGGTGAAGGCGGTTTCTTTCTTTTTCTCCTAAATGTGTCTCACGGTGCGGTAGCGGGGGCGCCTCTCCAGACATGCCCGACCGCGGCATGGTCTTATCTGTCAAATCAATCCTGCCCGAGGCAGTTATTGCCCTTAAACCAGGCGAGACTGACGTATGGAGAAGAGATACTATCTCCGGATCAACATCTATGTCAGAGATCTTTGTTGTCGAATCTTCTGTCCTCATTTCCCTAAGGAGTTAATTACTTTTGATCTTAAAGGTCCTTTTATCAGTGTAATGGTCCTGCAACCACTGCTCCATGTTTGCTATCTAGTTCCCGAAAGGCATCAGAGCAAGACTCATTTGCATAGGAGAGCTCTGCATCGGCATTTTGTCTCTTTTCTTACACATTTCTCTTTCTACTTTTTCTTCTATCCTTTCTTCAGCCTTCCCCATGTTCATCTTCTTTGAGCCCGCATGAAGGGTAGGATCTATCAATTTAGAGTCTGCAGCCTCTTTGCCGCAGAGCCTCTTTTCCCGACACATCATTGTCCCTGAGGGTCTCCTTATCAACTCCGGAATGCGACATCGAGCCAACAGCGCCGGACTCGGAATCGCAGTCGGACTGTACCGCCATGACTTCTTGGACGGACTGTACCGCCCTTACTTCTCGAACTGACTGTACAGCTTGCGAGATCTCGTTAACTTTCTGAGCAGACTGTACAGCTCCTTCGTCCGCACTCTTAGGCCGCACGCCTGCGCGCACAGTCCGCCGAATCACTCTACTAGTACACTAATTTTTTTGTTTAGGCAGAGGAAATGCTTTACGCATACTCTCGGGAAATACGGGACTTTCCCAGAGGTAGTGTGGGACACTCCCCCCGGAACTAACTGTCCGGGGGGGGGGGGGCCTACCCACTAAAACCTCTGCCGGGCCCCTCGCGGCCATTGCGAGGGCGTCCCGCGAACCGCTTGCGCATTACTTCCGGGACTCCCTCAGCCGTAGGGCGGAGAAAACCTAAACTCCGCTCCCTTCCCGGGCCTAGAGGGACGTTATTCCCTTCCGGCCCGTGTCACCAACCCTTTACATGGGCCCTTCGTCCGGTCACACCTCACCTGTAGGGGCGCTATTGGCCGGGTCCGGTCCCGTCCGGACCCGGCCCGTCCCTACGCTCCCGACCGAGGTTGCAGGGGCGGAGGGGTCGTTGTTCCCCTCCGCCCCTTTCGGTCAGGAGCCTCCTGGCTCTGGGAAGGGGTGAGCGGCCTAAAATTCCAACCTTGCGAACCGGCCGCCCTGCCCACCTCTCGGAGGCGCCTGGTCTGACTCCTTGTCACGGGAGGAGTCGCGCCTTACGACACGCCTCCCCCGCCCGACCAGACGCCTCCTATCTTCCCTGGGCCGGGTCCTCCGACGATGATCAGGAGGACTCGGCGGCATTGGAGGGGGCGACGGCGCACCCGTTGGTTCCCCTTAGGGAAGGGACGCCAGCAATGACGTCCCATCCCCGCCCACAGGTGCTCCTCGATCCCGCGCTGATGTGCGGGTAGGTGAGACGCCGCCCGTCTCCTGCGGCGCCTCACCCCGTCCCGAGGGGCGGTCTCGCCCCTCCTCTCTCGCTCCGCCTCCTCTTTCTGCGCCATAACTGTGTCGCAGAAGGAGGTGACGGCGGACCAGCCTTCGTCTCCCTCTAGCATGGCCCTGATAAGGGCCAGGTGAGAAAAGTCCGCTTCCACCACATCAATCAGGACTCGGCGCTCCACTACCCATGAGAAACATTCCTCGAGGGTGTGTTGCGCCGAGTCCACCTCGTCACCACAGTGGTGGCAACGGGAGGTGAACTTCTTGCCTATCCTATGCAGGTACTCACCGAAGCATCCGTGTCCGGTGACTACCTGCGTTGTCCGGAAGGACAACTCCACGCGGCCCCTGTCCACCCACTCATTTAGACAGAGCCAGATGGCCTCGGCGACCCTCGTTTCCGACCGGCCCGTCGCCCCCTCCAGGTGGATGCTCCACCTTAGGAGGAAGCGTTGACGGCCTAGGTCCTTCGCCAATCTAATGGCCCTGGCCAAATGTTCCAGGTCTCCCCCAGCTCCCGGAGCTCCTTGACACGCCGATAGTTTTCAGCGTGCATCTGGGCAAGGACTTCCAGCGGGGGGGGGGAGACCGGCCAGGGCCGTGGCGGCCATATGTGACGTCGTCCGAAAGGCCCGAGCGAAGCGGATGGCGACCCACCGCTGAATGCGGTGTGCCAGCGATATTAATCCCTGGCTGGTCGCCATCGCGCTCGCCCAGACCGGGGCCTCGTAAAGGGCCATGCTGTGGACGACGCCAGCATACAACCGTCGTGCCTTCCTCTTGGGGCCGCCGAGATTGAACATGAGGCTGCACAGACTAGTACACTAATCACTTGATGTAATTAATCCAATTAATATTGGCTAATTAATAGCTGTAATCTTCTTGGGTTAATCATCCTTGCACTCACTCCGGCCGCGAAATGCTTTCGGCGCGAACACTTGCTGTAGACATTTTTTGTTAAGCCAGGGGAATTGCTTTTACGCATACCCGCGGCCTCCGGGGGGAGACCGCGGGTTATATGGTACTCCTCCTCCGCCTTAGGAATCGACGGGGGCCCTACCCACTAGAATCCCTGGCGGGTCTGTTCTCCGCGGTCGTCAGGCGGCCCGCGGGAACCACTTGCGTATTACATCCACGGACCCCTCTCCGCTGTCCTGAGGACACCTCCCGAACCGGGGTAATAAAATTATTCCCGGTCGTGATTCTTCCTAACAGCGGCGCGGTGCGACCCAACCCCGCGCCGCCTCCCTCCCGGGCCGCTATGATACGAGGATGCGCCCCCGCACACCCCTCTAGCGACTCTCCCGTAGGGGAGAGGGGGGTACCGGGACGGGTTCCGGTTCGTCCGGACCCGATTTTCCCCTACCTTCCTGATCGAGGTTGTGGGGTGGAGGAGTCAATGTGCTTCTCCACCCCTCCTGGTCAGGAGCCTCCAGTCTCAGGGAGGGGGGTGAGTGGTCTAAGAGCCCGCCTTTGCAAGCCGGCCGCCCTGCCCCCTTCCTCGGAGGCACCTGGTCTCACTCCTTGTTACGAGGGAAAGTCGCGCCTTGCGACACATCTCCCTCAACCGACCATGCGCCTCCTATCTCCCCCCCGGGTCCTCCGGTGATCACTGCCGAGAGGACCCGGCAACGTTGGGAGGGGGGGCGGCGCACCCGCAGGTACCCCAGGGGAGGGAACGCCAGCGGTGACGTCCCCTCCCCGTCCACGGGTGCGCCGCCCTTCGACCCCGCGCTGATGCGCGGGTAGGTGAGGCCCCGCGCTTCTTCTGCAGCGCCTCACCCCGTCCCGGGAGCGGCTTCGCCCCGCCGCTCCCTCTCCGACTCCTCCTTTTGCAACACGACTGTGTCGCAGAAGGAGGGGACGGTGGGCCAGCCCTCATCTCCCCCAAGCATGGCTCTGATAAGGACCGGGGGAGAGGTTTGCTCCCACCACATTAATTAGGACTCGGCGCTCCGCCACCCAAGAGGAGCATTTCTTCAGGGTATGCTGCGCCGAGTCCACCTCAGCACCACAGTGGTGGCAGCGGGAGTTAGGCTTCCTACCAATCCTATGCAGTTACTCACCGAAGCATCCATGTCCGGTGAGTACCTGCGTCGTCCGGAAGGACAGATCTCTGCGGGCCCTGTATACCCACTCTTGTAGGAATGGCCGGATGGCCTCGGCGACCCTCGTTCCTGATCGGCCCGTCGCCTCCTCCAGGTGGATGCTCCTCCTTAGGAGGAGACGTTGACAGGCCTGCAACTTTGCAATTTCAATGACCCTGGCCAGATGTTCGAGGTCCCTCCGGGCACGGAGCTCCTTGACATGCCGATAGTTCTCGGCGTGCATCTGTGCAAGGAATTCCAGCGGGGAAAAACCGGCCAGGGCCGTGGCGGCCATATGCGA